TCACATGGACATCCTGCCCTCCACTGCCTCCTGCTTCTGTGATTTGTTATCAGCCAGGTCAGAAGATCACCTTTTTCAGTTCTAGGCCTGCTTCTTTTCTTGTTGTACCTCTCCACAATTGGCTCTATTTTTAGAATTCATTGTTATGCAGATGACACACAGATATATCTACCAGTAAAGAACTCAGACTCCACCTCTCTCCAGTCTGTTTTTATGCCTGGAAGATTTGAAGGCCTGAGTGGCCCTACATTTCTTGAAACTTAGGCCCCGTCCACACGAAGCCAAACCCTGGCCTAAACGCACAAATTTTTCACCAAACCAGCCTCTCATCCATACGAAGCCGGCGTTTTGGGGGTCTGTAAACTATCTTTTTTTTATTAAGCCTTCAGAGTAGGAAGAATTTGAAATGTTGTTTTCGGGTTTCCATCTTTAAGCTCTAACCGCATTTTTTTTTCTTACACGCATGCGTCATAGCGTCGCCTCTAAACACGCATGCGCGACACAGTATCACAACAACAATGGCGCTGTACTGTGTTGAATGGTTGCTGCTCATGCTACTCGCCCTGCTGTCAGGCTTACAACAGAATCTTCTTCTTCTGGAATATCTCCAGGAAGAACAGAGCAATATCGACGACATAGTTCAGCACCTGAATTTGACTGAACCACCAAAATGGACCCGCAGGGCAACCATGTATAAATATTAGTGCGCATGCCCAACATTTCGTTGCCTATTTTTGCTTTGGCACCACAGCGCCACTTACAGGCCTGGCATACATTTTGCAGCGTTTTCATGCATTCGTGTGGACAAGACCGAGGTAATTGTTTTTGACAGATCCATTTTAGATTCTCTGACCAATCTTGGCTCTTTGGCCCAGTAACCCAGTTGTTACAAATTTAGGGGTCAAGGTGAATGCTGGTCTTAAGCTTGAAGATCACATTCCTCTTAAGGTAGCTAGCCAAAGTAAAAACTATTCTTTCCAGACAGCATTTTGAAACAGTGATCCATGCGTTTGTGAGCACATGGCTGGTGTACTGTAATGCACTTTATATTGGGGTCAATGATTTTTATATTTCCCAGCTTCAATGGCACAAAATGCTGCTGTACATCTTTTAACAGGTACACAAACATTTTACCACATTTCCCCTATTTTAGCTTACTTACACCGGTTGCCAGTGCATTTTAGGATTCATTTTAAAATCCTTTTATTTGTTTTTAAGGCTGTTAATGACCTTGCCCCTCCCTATCTGTCTGAGCTGTTTATTCTTATACACCTTCCCGTTCTCTCAGATCAAAGTGCGGGCTCAGAGAGGACTGTGCTTTTTCTGTGGCAGCTCCCAAGCTATGGAATGATCTTCGTTTGGCATAAGACAGGCCTCTTCACTCGCTGTTTTAAAGTCTCTTCATAAGATCCATCTTTTTTTTTGGCTTTTGGGACAATCAGAGAGGTTTCACTTTGTTTTATTGTGTCTGTATATTAACATGTATTTTGTATTTAATATTTAATATTATATAATTGAATTGTATGTTATGATTGTGTACAGGACTTTAGTCATGTCAGTGTATAAAGTGCTTCATAAATAAAGTTAATATGGTATGGTATGGTCTATCTCTAGTAGTCAAGTGAAGAGGCAACTGGAGAGACTAAATTGTAATAAGTCACCAGGTCCTGATGGTTTCTGCTCTAAAGTCCTGAAGGCCTGTGCAGAGCAGCTCTCAGCTAGGGTTGTCACGATACTAAACTTTTCAACTCGATACCGATACTAAGGAAAATATTCGATACTCGATACCATTTTCGATACCACAAGGATAAAAACAAAGACTCCAAAATTCAACAGAAATATTTTCATTAATAAATAAAATACAATAAATAAACACAATAAAGGTTGTATGCTGTGCATAATATTATGCAAGCTTGATAAAAAACTTATAAAAATCAAATTAAGTGTTCCTTCCTTGGCTATGCTTTGCACACATAATAATGACACTAGCCAAACCAGTTAAGAAACAAAAATAAGTCTTAGCAGCTGCACCTCTTACAAAAAAAAAGTCTGAAACCGAAAAGTTCACAGAATTATTCAATCACACAGTGTTCAGAAAGTGCATTGTCCTCTATTCTGCACTCTAGATGAATGACTGCTTAGGTGCCACTGGTGACGGTACTGTATCGATACTTTTAAAAACGAGTATTGTATCCGGATACAACATTTCAATATCGATACTTTTTTGAGTTTCGATACTTTTGACAACCCTACTCTCAGCTCATTCTACCGCACCTCTTCACCCATAGTCTTGCACTCGAGACAGTTCCAGTGATGTGAAAGACCTCCTGCCTTGTTCCAGTGCCAAAGAAGACTCAGCCAACAGTCATAAGGCCTGTTGCTCTGACATCCCACATCATGAACTTCATAGAGAGAGTTCTGTTGGTTCACCTGAGCAAGCAAAGAAGCAACTATCTGAACCCCCTGAGTTGAAGATGCCATCATACACCTTCTTCAGCAAATCCACTATCATTTAGAGACAGACAGCACTGTAAGAATCATGTTCTTTGATTTCTACAGTGTATTTAATATAATTCAGCCTGACTTTGTGAAAAACTTCAGTAAACTCAGATGGAGGCATCAACAATCCCCTGGATCAAAGACTACCTGACAAACTGACCACAGTTTATTAGACTGAAAGGTCAGATGTCTAATCAAGTAGTCAGCAGCACTGAGCACCACCAGAGACTAATACTCTGTACACCTCTGACCTCCAGTACTATACAGAGTCCTGTCATCTGCAGAAATACTCAGATGAATCTGCCATCATTGGGTGGATCAAAGGTGGACAAGAAGCTAAGTACAGAGAGCTGCTGAACTGTTTTGTGGAGAATGTGATCTGTTCTTCCATCCTCTGCAGGGGTAACAGTATTAGAGCTAGTGACTTGAAAAAGCTCAACAAGTTAATTAAGATGACCATCTATGTTCTAGGAACTCTACTAGAACATATGGATATTATTTTACAAAGGAGAATTATTCATAAAGCTAAGAAAATTATGGAGAACATTGAACATTCTCTTCAGAAGATGTTTAAACAACAAAAGAGTGTCTTCAGTAAGAAGCTGCTCCAGATCTTTACTAGAATATCCAAAAGTAGAATGGGAGGCAGATCTATTAGTTATCGGTCTCCTCTGCTGTTGAACCAACTACCAGTTTTAGTCCCTGTCTACTTTAAAACTTTCCTTTTTGATAAAGCTTCTAGTTAAAGTCACTCAGGTTAACCTGAGCTATCTCTATAGCAATGCTGCAATAGGCTTACCCTAGGGCTAAAAGGACAAATCTTGGTTTATGCTTAACGCATCTGCGAGGTCCGCACAGCCAAACTACATAATTTTTGGCTTTTACATCCCTCCTACCCCCCTACACCCATGCCACGCTGCCACGGTTGGTAGTAGCCACTCTAGTCAATGAAGGGTTCAACCTCGTGTACCACGGGGCGTCCCATACTGTAATTGTGGTCCGTTGGACGTCTACCTCAAATACGTGGCTGGTCTCTTTCATCCTTGATGTAAAGTGATCCGGTGGGGTGTAACAGGTGATCCGCAGAGCAATCCTCATTATCAAAGTCTAACTGTTACAAGGTGAACAGGGTGCTTGGCAGAATCCGCAGCATTAACATGTTCTGTGGAACCTAGGGTTAGACTGCTGGAGGACATGGGAACCCTTTTAATCATTCTGCTTCACTCTACAGTATCTATATTCTCCCATTCTGCAGTACTAGTTTAAGTTTATGCTCTCTCAGCCTTTTCTCATCAGAGTAACTTCTTCAGATCTTTCTCTGTTTGGCTGCCTGTGACTCTTTCCTGGATAGAAATATCAACTGTGCTGCTGCCATCAACATCTTTGTTAATAAATGTTGGAGCTTGGCCTGATTTTCTTGTAGTTCTTTTTCTCTGACTGTGACTAACTATGTGTTCTGTTTCATCCTTTGCATGGGGCCGCCTGTGGAGCTGGTTAACAGTTGCCTTTTGTATCTCTGCTTCTTTCTGTATGTCTGCTTCTGTCTCCTTGAACCCCAGCCAGCCTCTGCAAATGGCCGCTCACACTGAGCCTGGTTCTGCTGGAGGTTTCTTCCTGTTAAAAGTGAGTTTTCCTCTCCACTGCACAACAACATGCGTGATTTGAGGGATTCCCTTTGAGTCATTAGGTCGATGCAATCAACTGGCAGTGAGATCTGACTGAATTGTGTTAAATGCCTTTTGATTACATGTTTTGAATTGGCCCTATATAAATGTAATTGATTGCAGTCCTTTTTAAAATCCTTAAGATGATTTAGGAATCTTGAAACATAGACATAATGCATACCTTTAAGATGGTTCTAATTTTGCAATGCGCTTAAAAAAGGATCTTAAATTTGAATCATAACAAGGTTTTTTAAATATTGGTAAAACATGCATTAATTGCGTTATTTGCAGCAGACCTCTCTCTTGTTTACAAAGTGTCATCCTTTTTTTCATAAGTGAATTATTAATGATTATCCTAATTATAGAAAGGCTCTTTGAAGCTTCTGTATAATAAAATAAACAATTGACTTTGGTGGCTGAACTCTTTAAATCCGTCTAGTCATGGGAGATTATCTCATGCTGACAGTCTTCTACTAGAAAGTTGTCAACAAGGTCAAAAAAGCCTTATCTTTGTCAGAGGGGTCTGTAATGTTCAAAGACATAGGAGTAAATCCAGCTTAATGGTGATGGTGAACTGTGAATACAATTCATTTTTACCAGTCATGCAACCATAGATAACTAATTCTGGGCTCGTTTAACCAGAAATAGTTTATTTCATTTTTGATAGTCTTTTGACATGTTTTATGTCTGTGCTTTCTTGTAAAAATGCTGTTTTGTGTTGAATGTATTTCAAATGCTTTCAACTGCCTTATGGCAACAGATACATTGTAACTTCAGCATATTTATCTTGAAGCATTTCCGACACATTCTCCTAATTCAAATATAATAAAATTTTACCTTGATGGCTGTTTTTAACTGCGGATTGGCTGACATTTGGGAGGGAAGTAAGTTGTGGCTCTTTAAGGAGGAGTAGATTCAGTCGACTTCTGGAGCGGTCTTCACTTGGCTTGAAGTTGCTTACTGCATATACACCCTGCATAAACAAAGTACTCAAAATAACATCCTGGCTGAAGGGCAAAAAAAAAACTTTCTCATGACTTTGGATGTGTTATATCAATATATCATAAAACAAATCAATGGAGTAAAACAAAACAAGAAAATAACCAGAAAACAATTGTAAAAACAGCTGTTCATAAAATGACTTAGACAAACTTTATTGTCATTTTGTAAACACAGAGTGTGTACAAAATTAAAAGGGCGTAATTTAAAAAAAGACCTTTGAGAGACGAGTCCTGGAGCAGCTAAGGCCCTTGGTCAGGCCCTTCACTGACCCACTACAGTTCGCCTACCAGCCCCGCCTGGGAGTTGAGGACAGCATCATCTTCCTGCTGAACAGTCTACAATCATCTGGACAAGCCGGCGAGCACTGCGAGAATCATGTTCTTTGATTTCTCCAGTGCCTTTAACACCATCCGCCCGGCTCTACTGGGTGAGAAGATGACTGCGATGCAGGAGGAGGCCCCCATCGTGTCCTGGATTGTTGATTACCTGACGGGCAGACCACAGTATGTATGCATACAGAACTGTGTGTCTGACAGGGTGGTCAGCAACATTAGGGCCCCTCAGGGGACTGTCCTCTCCCCCTTCCTCTTCACCCTTTTCACCTCGGACTATTGCACTGAGTCCTCAGCAATTGTTGGCTGCATTGAAAAGGGTGATGAGAGTGAATACAGGACTGTGGTGGGCAACTTTGTCACTTGGAGTGAGCTGAACGATCACTACACTTTGGTTTTAAAAAATATAAAAATATAACCACGGATGTCTGGGAGACAGTGATTCGCCTACATGTTATGAATGCTGGCGTAACATAAAGATCATATTATGAACAGTTTAGTTTGTGCCTTCAACGTGTTGCCCAAAGGAAGACGTTATTTGGATATAACAAAACCGAATATCTTCGGAACAGCTCCAAATGACACAAAACTCATGGATGAGTAGAACATGATGTAATAATGTAAAATCAAGGGGCCAATGTAAAAAAAAAACAAAAAACAACTGTGTTCCCCTTTAAGTATATAATATTGGGTAAGTCTACTGGTTGGTTATAGTGCACATATGGCATTCCACTAGAATTGACTGAACCCCAGAGGAGCGAGGAGATCTTTCAGATATGTTTGTGATATAGTTGATTATAGTATTATCCTAAAAGGCTTGCTCAGGGACTATTACATCCACAAGATGGATTTTTTTTTTTGTTCTTGCATCCACCTTGCTCTCTTTTAAACTCCGCCTTTAAGACTGGATGTTGCTTCTTGCGTCTCAGCCCAATCAAGATCAGATTGATAGTGCGTCCATATAGCATTATCAATCTGAAGCCTGTGATGTGCTATGTGTACGGTAGCACGGATAGCCTAAACATAGACTCCACAGGTGCCTCTTCTCTCCCTACCCCGGCTCGGATCACAAGCCAAATGGGCAAAGCAAGCAATGGGATTTAGACATTGGAGTGTCCTTTCAGTTTCATCTTCCATCATACCAAATTTCTTAAGCATTCTTGGCCAATGGGAAGGGAGCCAAATGCTTATTGATAGCCAGTCGACCCGGGCTTTTCGAACCGCTAATTTTAGTTGGAAAAAGGCTTAACTATCTAATTTAAATCTATCAAAATTATTAATCTCTAAATCTAAATGCAGTGCTGTTCAGTGGAGCAGTGGGTAGCACTGCTGCCTTGCAGCAAGAAGGTTCTGGGTTCAGTTACTGGCCCGGGGTCTTTCTGCTTGGAGTTTGCATGTTCTCCTTAAGCATGCAAGTGTTCTCTCCGGGTACCCCGGCTTCCTCCCACATTCCAAAACCATAATTTTTAGGTGAGTGTGTGAGAATGGTTGTTTGTCCTGTTTGTCTCTGTGTTCCACTGCGATGGACTGGCAACCTGTCCAGGGTGGACCCCGCCTCTCGCCCAGAGATAACTGGACATACGTAGGCACCAGCACTTCCACGATCCCGTTTCGAATAAGCGTGACAGAAAATGGATGAATGGAAATCTAAATGTAGATAAGTCTTACCAGATAAACAGCGATGGCAGCTCCCAATAACCAGCCACAGTAAACATCCACGGGGTGGTTTCTAAACTGAATGATCCGGGTTAATCCAGCCAGGATGGCCAGCATGACAAAAGAAAAGACCAGCAAAGGCTTCAGCAGCTTCGCTGAGTCTGTCAGCACTGTGTTAAAGTACATCTAAGGAGACACCATAAACAAAGAAAGTTCATTACTACAGCTGAGCATATGTTAAATTTTATGTTACAAGCTAAATTTACTTACTGTACAAGTTTTTTTTTTAGAAAAAAATACTTACAGAGATGTAGACAGCAGCAAAGGCAGCCAGTGTAGCATGTTGGGATGGGAAAGACTTTCTGAAAGACAGAGCAAAATAAGCCTGAGGGTCCTCCAGGTGAATAACCATTTCAGACAGGCAAAGACAAAGCTGAATACACATAAAAAGAGGAAGGGTTTGTGGAATCATATTTTTCCTTGGCCTATTTTTTGAGATAAAATATTTTAAGTGTGCCTGTTTGAGTAGGAGTAATGATAGAGACATCCTGACTATTCACTATACTGTACTGTTTAGGGGGGCAGGAAGCAGATGCCTCCCTACTCAGGACAAGGGTATAGGGAAGGACATGAGAGATAATGAGTTCACAAAGCCTTGTTCATGCTGTGGTTAAAATTTATGTCCTTGATGAACTGAAGACTCATTGATCGTGTGTGTGGAGTCTCCTTATATGCAGGGGTGGGAAGCTACCCCACCAGAGCCTCACTAACAGTTCAGCTGTATGTGTTGTTCTCCTCTGCAGAGTAAAATAAAACTTTTCTTCCTTGTATAACAACTCTCAGTGCTCATTTTACAGGTTTTTAAACAAAACATGGATGTGTTTTCTGTATGTGCATTGTGGTAAACTTCCCATAATGTAAATGAAGCATGTAAATGGATAGTATTGAAGGCCACAGTAAGACATCTGACGTATGGTCTTAAACAATGGCTTTAGTTTTTGATTGGTACCACATGTAATACATTGTTCAAATTAGCTACTGTTTTTTTTCTAAAGTAAATTAAACATGTTCATAAATAAAACTTTAGGATAGGTTTGTATCTGCATTGATACAGCTCATCACAATACTGTTTTAGTAAAGGTTTGAACATGATGTAGGGATCCATTGAAAAGCACTCTCAAGGTTTGTTTGTGATGCTACATTCACACTGGTGATGGGAACAAAAGTTCTCTTGAGTGAACTGACTCACTAGTATATTTAAATGATTAATTGTAAAGATTGAGATTGTCGTGATGGTTTTACATTTCATTCTCCTGCCTAGCTCCGCCCAGTTTCTCATTACCACTCATAATATTCACCTGTTCGAGCTTTTATTTAAACTGCTTGCTGCCAGTCATCAGTGCAAGATTATTCCTGAACCTTTGGTGTGAGAATCATTCTAGTGCTACAGATTGCATTCTGATTACCTGATATCAGACATAGGCAATGTGGAGTCAACAAGTCATCTCCATGTCATGTATTTGTTCTACCCAGCCACTGAAGCAGGTGAGTCCAATCTTCACTGTGAATTAACCTGTGCAGATTGGACTCACCTGGTTAATTGGCTGGGTAGAACCAATACATGACATGGAGATGACTTGTGGACTCCACATTGCCCATGTCTGCCTGATATTGACCTGTTCTGCCTCTCAACCTCCGACCTTGGCTGTCCCTGTTCGGATCTGTTTGCCTGACCTGTCTTTGGACTCTTGTTGAATTCTGTTTGTGGACTGTACTTAGATCTAGCTCCTGACTTCGCCCTCCGGATTATCCTACACTCCGGAATCTGGAACCCTGTGCGGCAACTGCTATGTCATATGTCAGCCGACTGGCTGGTATCAACCTTGGTCTCTGGGCACGGACTGTGTCTGAACCAGGTTAGTGACTTATGTGTTCATATCCTCCTCCATCAGGTTATCGTGGTTATTGTCCTCCCTCCAGAGTTTCCTGCCTTCGACGCCCTAGCTGCTGCTCCTGCAGATCAGCTGCCTGTTTATTTAGTTAAACGTTTTTGAGTAATCCCACTGTCTTGCCTGACTACTAGGGTCCTCTGCTCTGAGTTGTGACAGAGATGGTCCGTAGCCTGTCCCAGTTCCAAAACAGGCTCCACCTGTTTTGACCAAACATGGTCAAAACCTGTTTTGACCATGTTTGGTCAAACCAGGTATGTCTTGACCATATCCAGGATATGTCTTGACCATATCCAAAACATGGTCACTAACTCTTGAAGTGGAAACTCTGGCTCATATCCAGCTGGTTTTTCAGAGTGATTGATAAGTCAATAGTGACTTATCAACTTATCGCTCACCAGATACCTATTGACAGTCAGCATGGTAGGAAGAGAAAAACAAGTGAACTAAAACAAAATGTGTATATATGTTGTCCAGCAGTTCAAAAATACTGGTTTTATTGGACAAAGGATCAGATCAACAACAGACTGAAGAAGCTAAAGAAAACTGGACGATTTCAGTAATGCAATATTCTAATTATGGTAACACCATTTCTTATGTGTACATTAATGGTTCAGGCTGTAATGGCAATAAACTTAATATTTGTACTACTACTTGTTTGTAGCAAGTGTTGTTGTTTAAATGAAGGGATATATGTCCTGGCTCAGAACAGGAGGACCCAGTATTCAAGGAGACAGACGGATAATTCAAAAGCGTTTATTAATAAACTGACCTGCAGGAACAGCAGCTGGGGTTTTTAAGGCAGTAACCTCATCAGAAAGGAAACACAATTTAGGGACCACATCAATCTGGCGGAGGAAGATTGTGAACATGAATCAATTACCTGGTTTAGTTCAGTCCATGCCCAGAGTATGAGGTAGGATCCAGCTGGTGGGCTGCAAACAAGAAACGTTGGGCACCGCCCGGGGTGTCACAGACGCCGCAGCCCTGGAAGACGGAGAACAAGCAGGAGAACATATCCAGGCACACGAAGGAGGGCAGGATAATCAAGAGGGCAAAGCCAGGGGCGAGGACATGCTCAGAATTAAGATCAGAACTCTGAAGAGGTTCCAGAGGGAAATCCAGGTCAGGGACAGGAAACAGCCCTGAGTTCTTCAAACATGCAAAATCCATCATGAGTCCATAGACAGGGCAGGCAAACAAATCACACGGGAACAGGCAGGCTCAAGGCTGATTTATACTTTGAAACAAGGTCGTCTGCGTAGGTGTTGCTGTGAACAAAAAGACGTCCCCGCCCCCTCCGCAGACACTCTGCTGCACCTCTCCCAAATAATAGGTGTCCGCAGACAGTGCCGCAGAAAGGAGGCTGGCTTGTTGTGTTTCTATGACCGAAGTTGCAGGGAAACAACCCGTGAAGTTGGACCAGCTAGAAGAGCCAGAACGCTGGGACCCTTTTTCCACCTGGAACCCCACTATTTTTTGCCCTCATGTCCCTCCGTTGTTGCTCAAACTTGCCCCCACTTCTTTTCCACCTTGGCCATATTGAGACCCACAGCATAAATCAAAAATGGCTGCGTTAAGCTCACTGCGACAGGCTGCTGCCTTTATTTCTAACCAGCCTTTCAGTGGTTAGAAATAAAGCTGCATCCATTGCATCCATGTCCATCATCGACCTTTCAGCAGATGCAGGCTCTGGAGGCCGGCCGTGAGGCTGGAGGCGTGGCACAGTATCTATGGAGGACGGCTGTGAGGCAGATGAAAAAAAGAGGACGGCCCTGAGGCCAGCGACGAAAGAGTACCTCTGTAGGACGGCTGTGAGGCCAACGATAAAAGAAAACATGTGGAGGACGGTCATGAGGCAAGTGACGAAAGAGGACCTCTGGAGGACGGCCATGAGGACTGCGACAGAGGAGGACTTCTGGAGGACAGCAACGGAGGAGGACCTCTGGAGGACGGTGATGGAGGAGGACCTCTGGAAGATGCTGTCTCTACAACAGGAACCTTGGACCTTGGGGTGACAACGGCACAGGAATCTTTGGCTCTGCCGACTGCTGCACAGGTACCTCGGGGGCTGCCGACAGCGGCTCAATAACCTAGGAGGAGGCGGCACAGCTTGAGACCAATGAAGAGGCATGGAGCGTTTGCTGAGGGGCCTTGGATGCGTGGAGAGCCCACTGATGGGCCTTAGAGGCCACTACCTTGGAGCTCTGATGGAGAGGCAGTGGAATTTATCCGCCCAGCCGCAGTGTCTGCGTTTGGAGGTCAGTCCTGGACATACTGTTTTATGCTACGGTGGCATGCTTACCCACTATAGAGGGAGTAGCGGCGTCAGCCTGACCAACTGGAGAGGGAGTGGTGGCGTCAGGCTGACCCACCGGAGAGAGAGTGGTGGCGTCAGGCTGACCCACCGGAGAGAGAGTGATGCAATCAGACTGACCTGATGGTGAGGCCGAGGGATTTCTCCGCCAGCGACAGTGACTGCGTTTCGAGTGACTGGAGATAGTGTGCAGCGCGAGGTGGAATCTAGAGAAGTGGATGGACCTGACAAAGATGGCGTTGAACATGCAGTGGTAGCAGGTGATCTGATAGGCTGAGGTGGAGGTGACTTACTGAAAAGCTCTGCAAAAGAAACCTTTTGGTTCCTTCAAAAATGTCCAATAACCCTACGGCAGACAGAAGTGGAGATTATAGAATTCAATTTGGGAAGCAGGACATTAAAGACTCTGGTGGTCTATCGGGTTGTGGGTCCTGGTTTGATCTCTGCGGAGTAGGTCGGGTGTCTGACCGGGATGGAGGCCTGGGGTTGGGGGTAACTACTACCCATTTACCCACATATATGCACGCACTAGGCCCAGGGGGGTGGGTGTGCCGAGCAGTGTCAGGGGAGTGGGGCACTCAGGTGGTCGTGACTGTTTGAGGGACCTTGCTTTGGGGCTTTGCAAGGACACCCACCCAGCTGTTTTAAATGCTTAGCAGACATGGAGGACCCTACCTATCGAGGACAGAATTGTCCTCAACTCACAGCACTTTCAGGGTCACACTCTGTGCATTTTTCATGAATTCTGGCCAAATGTTTTAGTCCTTCAAAACCCTGCCTTGGTGCTAAATAGTCCTGGCTGTAGACAACGCACCAAAGTCTTAGTTTAACATACCTCTCTGCAGCTTCTACACTGTTACCCATCCATTACCCTATCCAGTGTCTAGCCCACAAACCAATTAAATAAATGGGCGGAAAAAAAATACTAAAGCATCTCATTACAATCTAATTGAAATTAAAATGACTCCATTTGGGAAAAAAAAGTTTAAACAAAAAAAATGTAGTTTTCCTCATTTGCACATGACGCTGAACAGGTTTTGAATGTATTTTAGCATGAGGTTAAAGTATTCCGAGATTGTGGAGGATAGTAGTAAATAACCCTCATTGCCTATTTCAAATGCCTAATTAATATGCCTCATAAAAGCTCTAATTAGAGCTTTTATGAGGCATACTCTGGTCATGAACAATGTATGTTGTTTACATTGTTCGAGCTTTTCTACATATGCTTGTTGGATATATGGTGTGTTATATAAGTGTTATGTGCTTACAACTTTGTTCTAATGTTATGTTGATCATGTTGTTTTAAGTTATGTTTGTCCTGTTTTTACAACATGTTGTCTGCTCTGTTTTCTAGACATATTCTAAGCCAAACTCTGATATTATTAAAAATAAATATATTAATGAAAAAGTACTCTGAAATAATGAATAAATAGGAGTGCATTTATGCATGATGATACAGCAATAAATACATGTAAGCAGTAATACGTTATACAATGAAACATATCGATATCGATTTTATGTAATTTCTTAATGGAATCATCTGTGGAATAATTACCCTATTTATTTGCTATTTATGTATTCACTTGTAATTTTTATTTATTTCTGTGTTTGAATTAATATTTTCCTAGTTTTTTTTTAAATATTTTTTTCTGCCTGTCCTTATCACTTAATTATCTTTATTTTTGTGTATCATAGAAATTCAAAGGTTACATTTATTTTTTGCTATATTTATCTACATTGTCTTGTGTAATCCTAATATATTTATAAGTAAGTAATTATTTATTTTTGCATTAATCATTACTAATATCAAAAAGAGTCCTTCATACTATGGAGTACAGCTAGAAAAAAAGGAAAGATGACAGGATTTAACAACTTAGGGGAGAAGTTAACGACTCCTGGTGAGCAAATAATGTTTTTACACATGCATAGTACATATGGAACTTTCATATCCACAAAAGTAAGTACAATGCACCTTACATATACACATAAACATGTTAAATAACATGAACATGCAAGATATAAGTCTTAAACAAAAACATAAATCAATTGTTGGCACTTTTGGAACACATTATTGATACTAGGTTTTATAAAAGCCCAGAATCCGAAGCAAATCAAACTGTAACTCTATTAATAATCAAGACTAGAGAACTATTAGAGTATATTCTTGATTATAAGCAGGCCTATCACAGACCTTAAGCTGATAAGTTAAACTAAATTAACCTCTCAAATATTATTCTTATCATTGTTAGTTTAATCAGTTTAATCTTAGTTTAATCACTCATAATGGCAGCAACTGTATGAAGGATCAATCCTACCATAATAAAAAAAATAAATACAGAAATAAATAAATGCTGAAAAAATAAATAAGCATACAATTAATTGTCCCACCAAAATAAAATAAACAAATATATATTGGTAGAAATTAAATTATACAGCCTTTATGATATTTACCTTATTTCGGGACCTGATTTTCGTTTCTCAAGAGTGCTTGGTTGAAAGATTTGTTGGCCGTCCCTAAATGCACCACTGTGTGGGGGAGGAGGGAGCAGCTGAGAGACGCTGGCCGCATTGGAGCCCCTCAGTCGGATCAACCGTGAGCTAGATCCCTCTGAAAAACTACATTGTCAACATCTGTGTCCCTGTGTGCTGCTAACTGAAACACACGGTCTGTCTAAGCGTCCAAACGAAAAATTATAAAGTCAATAGTTATAACCTTAGCATTGTTTTCAAAAACAGTTGCTAAATGTCTTAGCGCACTGACAACTTCATCGTAGGTAGCCATGTTTGTTGTGACTGTGGTCGGTGGCTGCTAACCAGCCAATGGTCAGAAGTTCAGCGCTTAAGACACACCCCTCCTCATTTGCATAAGGAGGCAGAAATGCATACAGAAATGTAAAAACGACAGGCAGAAATAAATAGCATGGAAGAAATAAATAGGGTAAAAATATACAAAGGAAGAATAAACCAGACAAAAATATTATGACATGCACAAAAATAAATACTTAAAGAAATAACTAACACATAAATAAAGTTAAAGATTATAACAGACAATAAATAAATAAGGTAATTGTTATAAAAAATATGAAAAAACAAAGAAGCTAATTAAAAGAGATATATACATTTATGTCTCACTGTATAATTTATTTTCTATCTACATTTATTTGTTTATTGCATTTTTTGGGGGGGATTAATTGTATGCTTCTTATTTTTGGAGCATTTATTATTTCTGTATTTGTTTTTAATTGTGGCAGGATTGGTCCTCCATACAGGTGGGGAAACTGATCTAGGAATCATATTTTGCAAACCTATTTTTCATATGTGCTGTATGCACATGTTTTCACACATTTATTACATGTAAAGCTTAAAAAATGATTGATATTTCATTCCATGACAGTTGGTGAACTGAGAAAAAATGAGTGAATCTGTGCAACCACACACAATAAAAAAATAAAAATAAAAAATAGTTCAAAGAAATGTCTTCATGGTTTCATGGGGTGGTTTTTCAGTCGTTTAAAATTTTTTGCCAAAAATACTTTGCAAAAACTATAATGTAAATTTACCACCCTGTAAAAAGATAAAAAAGACCGGAAGTAGTTGGAGGATGATAGCGCCCACTAAAGCAATGAATAAAATATGGATATATTTTTTGTGTTTCCATTCCTTGCTGTCATGTTGCTTTCACAGTTATCATGTAAACAAACGTGCAATTTTAATTGTATTTGTTATTTAATGGAAGCACTGAAATAGTGAAACTTTGCATTGTCGAATTTAGCAGAATATCAAAAAAAAATTTGTAACGCAACTTACAAAAATTGAGTGAACATTAAGGAAAATGATTGGAAGAAAAAAGTCTTCAGACTCCCACAAATATCCTAAAAAAAATCCTCAGGGCAATCCGCAGTCACTCCAATAATGAAAGGAAGACTTACCTCCCATTGTTGATGAGTCCTGGGTCTGGTCCAGAACAAATATCCTCCAGAATAAAAGCTTCATCACAACTGGACATGTTGATGTGGGTCAAATTGGGTTTGCATACATCCAACCAGTAGGGGGTATGTTGTCCAGTGGATAGTTGAAGGATGTTCGTAATAAGCGCTGTCACACACAGGCCAAAGATATGGACGCCTGTATAACAGACTGTTGTTAATTATCACATAATCATGTTAACTTCAACACCTGTACCTGTATGCACATAATGTAATTTATTTACTTTGCCATGTTTTTCCATCACATTTTTAGCAGCCAACATTTGTTAAGAAACCTGGTTCTTCTTTTTCTGTTTATCGTTAAAAACTATTTATATTGCACTCATGTAACTCATCCGCGAAAATGGAAAGAGAAGGCTGGACTTCGTGAGGAGGTTTAGATCCTCCACTGTGAGGAGCATGATGCTTCAGATCTCCCTTACCTACACTGTAGAGCAGGGGCCTTCAATGTTTTCCAGCTACCATAACTATGCAGACGACACACAGCTTTACATCACCATGTCTCCAGGTGATTATGAACCAATTCAAGCACCGAGGAAATGCTTAGAAGAAATCAATGCCTGGATGTGCCATCATTTTCTTCAACTGGATAAAAACAAAACTGAAGTAATAATCTTTGGACCAATAGAGGAGAGATCTAAAGTTAGCACACAGCTTCAGTCGCATCAGCTAGTAACCGCTGATCAGGCCCGAAATCTAGGTGTAGTACTGGATTCAGACTTGAACCTCCAAAAGCATTTAAAGACAATTACAAGGTTGGCTTTCTATCACCTGAAGAACATTTCCAGGATTAAAGAACTAATGTCTCAGCATGATCTGGAAAAACTAATCCATGCGTTTATTTTTAGTTGAATTGATTACTTTAACGGTGTTTTCACAGGTCTGCCTAAAAAGTGGATCAGACAGCTGCAGCTGATCCAGAACGCAGTAAAAATCTCTTTGAAAGGGAAGAGGTATAGCACACACAATAAAGGTCCCAGCATAGAACCCCAAGGGACTCCACAATAAAGGGGGGTCAGACGATGACATGGACGCCCCCATCCTGACAGAAAGACCTCTCTGACATGCAGGAATTAAACCACTGCAGAGCGGTCTGCCTCTTAGGTGGTCTAAAAGAATTGTGTGGTCATCTTTGTCAAAAGTAGTAGTAAGATCTAAAAGCACAATGGCGGAACTGCCAGAATCAGTTGTTAAAAACCTTTAAAAACCGTTCAAATCTTTAACAGTGCTGATTCAATACTGTTAAATGTTTTGTACCCTAACAGAATATATCATGATATAAAATGCCATGTTTGTCAAAAAAAGGTTGCACCAAAACTAGGGGTGGGTATTGCCAAAGAAGTCACGATTCGATTCGAATCACGATTCACAGGCCACGATGCGATTCTATCATGATGCATCACGATACTTGAATTATTGCGATGCATTGCAATATTTTCTCCTCCATGTTTTGTTTTTGAATGACTCGGCGCAGTATCCCGCGGCCGGAAATGCTTGTGACACAAGGCAAAGTGAGTCAACACATCCGCAGCAACATCTACTGGACTGGAAGTTGTGTTACACTTGTTTTGGCTGATGTTCGCCAACCATTCATACAATTTTATTTATGCATTTTTTTAAATTAATAATCGATACTTGGCGTCAAGAATCGATGCAGTAGATCACGAAAATTAGAATCACGATGCATCATCATGACGATTATTTTCCACACCCCTAACCAAAACACATTTCTCCAAAATCTTTGAGACAAACAGTAATTTGAAAATTGGTCGATAATTAGAAAGAGTCTTGGGATCCAAACTAGTTTTTTGATCAGTGGTTCAACAGCTGCTTTTTTTTACAGGAAGAAGGCACAGTTCCAGAAGACAGACTGCTTTTAATTATTTCACCAACAACAGTGTTAGTAGTGTCCCAAACCTCAATAAAAAAGCAAAGAGGGACAATGGAACAGGAGGATGGTTTTAGCTTTAGATCAATTTCTGTTAAAACAGCTGAGTTTACCTGCCTGTCCACCCTCCAACACCATCTGCAATGTAGAGAGAACCACTGGATTTACGCTAACCTCCCGGACCGTGAACACTACCCTCCCTAGATCAAGCCAAGTCTCTACCTCCAAGATCAGCCTGCCAGCACTGCCTCTGCTTACACTGCACCTTCACAATGAAACTTCGGTAAAACAAATTGTCTGTCTGTCCCTGAAGAGGCAATATCATTTCCCATATGCAACTTGTGTGGCGAGGGGACAATTACTTAACATCCTCCAGCCAAGCAACCAGTGAAACCAGAGTTCTAATGAAAATTAAAAAGAGAGATCATATCTCGCCTATCCTGGCTTCTCTTCATTGGCTTCCTGTTAAATCAAGAATAGAATTTAAAATCCTCCTTCTCACATATAAAGCCTTAAATGGCCAAGCTCCATCTTATATCAGAGATCTGATTGTTCCTTATGTTCCTAACAGAGCACTTCGCTCTCAATCTGCAGGTTTACTAGTGGTTCCTAGAATTTCTAAAAGTAGAATGGGAGGCAGATCTTTTAGTTATCAGGCTCCTCTCCTGTGGAACCAACTACCAGTTTTAGTCCGTGAGGCAGACACCCTGTCTACTTTTAAGGCTAGGCTTAAAACTTTCCTTTTTGATAAAGCTTATAGTTAGGGTGGCTCAGGTTATCCTGAGCTATCTCTATAGTTATGCTGCTATAGGCTTAGACTTTTGGAGGACATAGGGACCCCCATTTCATCATTCTGCTTCATTCTCTCTCTGTTCTCCTATTCTGCAGAATCTGTTAGTTCAATCTCTAACCTTCTGCTCTCTCTGCTTCCTCAGAGTAGCTTTGCCTCGTCTGTTCCTGTTTGGCTGTGACGTCATCCTGGAAAGAAACATCAGCTGTGCTGCTTCTATCAACACCCTTGTTTATAGATGTTGGAGATCGGCCTGTTTTCCAGTGTGGTCCTGTTTCTCTGACCGTGACTGAGTGGATGTGCTCTCTTCGTCCTCTGGCATGGGAGCTGCCTTGGAGCTCGTCTGCCTGGCTGTGTGTTTCCTGGACGGGGCCGCCTTTTACAGCTGCTTTTTGTATCTCTGCTTCTGTCTCCTTGAACCCCAGTCGGCCTCGGCAGATGGCCGCTCACACTGAGCCTGGTTCTGCTGGAGGTTTCTTCCTGTTAAAAGGGAGTTTTTCCTCTCCACTGTCGCTACAAGCATGCTTAGTGTGGGGGATTGTATTTGAGTCAATGAGTCAATGCAATCAACTGGTTTTCCTTAGATAGAAAACTTTGTATCAATTTGACTGTATGATCTGGTTGAACTGTAAAGTGCCTTGAGATGACATGTGTTGTGAATTTGGCGCTATATAAATAAACTGAATTGAAAACTGAATTGAAATTCATGCATGTGAATTTCAGCTCTGGCCACCCAATGCCAATAAATTAGGCTTTCAAAGACTGATCATAAAGCAGACAGCATGTGGTAAACTACACGATGCACTCTGCTACCAAATCATGCTTGAAACAATTTTCTGACAATATATGATTTCAGTAAATTTCAACAAAATGTTCTCTATTTAATAGCATATATTTTTTTTAGAAACAAGGAATATGAGAGCAAAATTTGAAACCGCTGTTGCTGCTACCCTGTCTCTGTGATGAAAGCTAACTGTTGCCGTTGCTTGTTGCATTTTGCATGCGGAGCTCTTAACAGGGACCACAACAGGAGATGTTGTTTTAATTTACAAGTCATTGAACAAACTCAAATAAATCCCAGTCCCATTAGTACCAAACTCTGCTGTTAACATACATCGGTTATAGTTAAAGAGGGTTTTTACACTGCCTATGCCAGGGTGCAGCCGGTATATGGCCATGGGCTGACATCCGACCTAAAGCAATTTTTTTGCATGATAATCAAAAAAGATCACTCTGCACCAATGGCAAACTGCACAAGCAACGCATTAACATTGTTAAAATGTTTATTAAACCCTTTATTAAGTAAGGATTATGTAATAACTGTGTCACAATGAAAATCTCTTGAGACACAGTCTCATTAACAAGAGAGGCTTCTTTACCACAAGCAGACTAGTTTTTTTTTGAAAGCCTAACTATATTAATAACTATATTTGTTTATTTATATGTATTTGACAATAAATGCACTAGATCTATTAAAAAATAGCTTTTTTGCTATTGGTGTTACAGTTTGAACCAGAGGACCCAAAGACAGCCAGACAACAGATAGCGTTTAAGAGTTAATTTGAGGATGCAGTAGTTTGGGGAAGAATTATCAGCATAGGAGAAGGGAAACTCTGGGAGTGGAGACGGATTGTTAGTGATCAGGCAGAGACTATGGGACAGTTGAACGGAGATAACAGATTTCACTAACCCTTTCACAATCGGGGAAAAAATCAGCTGTGCTGCTGCCATCAACACCTTTGTTTATAGATGTTTAAGCTCTGCCTGTTTTCCAGTGTAGTCCTGTTTCTCTGACTGTGACTGTCTGGATGTGCTCTCTTCATCCTCTGACATGGGAGCTGGCTCGGAGCTCGTCCGCCTGGCTGTGTGTTTCCTGGTCGGGGCCGCCTGTGGAGCTTGTTGACAAGTTCCTTTGTATCCCTGCCTCACCACTGGTTTTAAATCTTGTTTTGTGTTCCTCATTCAGTTGTTTGGATCTAACTTCTGAATTCAGCACTTCATCACTATGGCATTATTGTAGTATTTTGGGAACTTGAATTTACTTTGGCAATTTTTTTTCTTATTCTGTCATTAGCCGTTATCTTTTAATATAAAACGCACAATATTTGGATAATCATAAATTCTTTCCTTTGTCAATTTATGATGTTATCTTTCCGACACTAGGTACGTTTCTTTACAGATGCATGTACAATGCATATTCTCTCTCACCTATAAAGCGGACAGCTCGACGGATGTAGGAGTTAAAATTACAGCCTGCAGCACTGATGTTGGCCTCAGTCTGAGTAGTTGATGACCTCCTGGACAGATAGCAGTATAGGATAGCTTCTCCTATCAAGATCTACACACAAAAAAGAAAAAAATGATTATAACAAACGACACAAAGCTGGTTAGATAAAAAAGTTAAACAAGATCTGCTTATCAGTGAAAGACCTTTTGTCAAACAAAGCAGCATGCTGCATGTGTATTGAAGATAAACGGCCTGGAAGATAAACAATCTTTAGGCATTGAATTTATAACACTGACTTTCTTACCTGTGCAATTATGTATGGGATTTTTTTTTTTTATTCACTAGCAAAAAAATTTGCATGTAAAAATACTGGAAATTTATATTAAAAAAATAATTTATTAGTTTATCAGCAAAAAATTAAATGCAAAAATTCAAATGAAAAATTTTGTTTAAATTTCCTAGATAGAGTCAAGTGGCTGTTATCAAATCTAATGACCCTAATTTGGTAATTTGATTTGATTTCAATGGCCTTCCATATATAAGCTGTCAGGGTTCTTCTGTGTTGTGCTTATTCTCTTCCACAGGTGGTTGTTGTTGACAGGTGGGCGTGGCCCCGCACCTGCGGCTTGTCGAGGCTACTCGGCTGAGCTTAAGAGGAGTCAACTGAAGGAGAGTTAAACTGTTGTGGTACGCCTAAGCCTCTGTTCTGTCAACAGATCTCTGTAACCTGGTGTTTTGGATTCTTGATTCTAACCCGTCTCCTGTCTCACTCAGTTTGTTGAGTTCTGGATTGCTCACCCGCCTGTCTCCATGCTCTGAAGACTGGTCTCTGAATCCCTGTTGCTCAGATTCTGCTCTGGCGTTCCCCTCGAGCCCCCTTGGTGCTACCAAGAGACCCCTTTACTGGATTTACAGTGGTTCCTTCAGCTGCTCCTTGAACCTGCCTCTGCTGTGGTGCTGCTCGGACCCCCGCCTAAGTCCCACCTGTCGCTCAGCGACCTCCCGCCATCAGAAAGCTGTGAGATACAGAACCCTTTCCTCTACTCACCCTGCCCTGATAGGTTATCCGTACCTGGCAGTAAGCAGGGCAATAACAGCGTTTTTTTTAACCTTTTTCTAGTCTTAATCAGTTTCCTCTTTCCTCCTGCAGAACCCCGAACACTGATGTTCCAAACCTCGCCTGCAACTCCCGTTCTGAACCTTTGTGTGTAGTTAACAAATGTCTTAAACTGCTCCTTGTGTCTGCATGTTGGCCAAACACCTTAAAACCATGACATCAGCACTGACTCTAATCAGTGAAGCATTTTACCTAAGATGGTTTCAATAAAAGAGTTTTTTTTTTCTCGTTTTTAAACTGGTTCAGTTCAGCTGACATGGAATTTAAGTGCTTTATTATCTGCTTAAACCTATTTCTATAGGTATGGAGTTAGTCTCAATTTTCACAAATACACATATGTGATTCATACAGTCATGGCCAAAAGTAATTAGAATGACACAAATATGCTGCCCTCTGGTTTTCATGTGTGTATGTCAGATGTTGTCATCACATACAGAAATACTATTATTATGAGTAACAAAAGCTTTTAATGACAGTTAGAATGAGTTAATGCAGCAAGTCAATATTTGCAGTGTTGACCCCTCTTCTTCAGGACCTCTGCAGTTCTCCCTGTCATGCTCTCAATCAACTTCTGGACCAAATCCTGACTGGTAGCAGTCCATTCTTGCCTATCAATACTTGCATTTTGTCAGAATTCCATTCCATTTCGTTTGTCCACCCGTCTCTTGATGATTGACCACAAGTTTTCAACGGGATTAAGATCAGGAGAGTTTCCAGGCCATGGACCCACAATCTCTATGTTTTGTTCCCTGAGCCAGTTAGATATCACCTTTGCTTCATGGCAAGGTGCTCCATCATGCTGGAAAAGGCATTGTTCATCACCAAACTGCTCTTGGATGGTTGAGAGAAGTTGTTCTCGGGGGACATTCTGGTACCTTTCTTTATTCATAGCTGTGTTTTTAGGTAAAACTGTGATAGAGCCGACTCCCTTGGCTGAGAAGCAACCCCACACATGAATGGTTTCAGGATGCATTACAGATGATATGAGACAAGGCTGGTGGTAGCGCTCACCTCGTCTTCTCTGAACAAGCTGTTTTCCAGATGTCCCAAACAATGGGAAAGGGGATTCATCAGAGAAAATGACTTTACCCCAGTCCTCAGCAGTCCACTCCCTGTACTTTATGCAGTATATCAGTCTGTTCCTGATGTTTTTCCTGGAGAGAAGTGACTTCTTTGCTGCCCTCCTTGAGACCAGGCCTTGCTCCAAGAGTCTCCGCCTCACAGTGCGTGCAGATGCACTCACACCTGCCTGCTGCCATTCCTAAGCAAGCTCTGCACTGCTGGTATCCCGATCCCGCAGCTGAAACACTCTGAAGAGATGGTCCTGGTGCTTGCTGGGCTTTATTGGGCGCCCTGGAGCCTTTTGGCAACGATAGAACCTCTCTCCTTGAAGTTCTTGATGATGCGATAGATTGTTGACTGAGGTGCAATCTTTCTAGCTGCGATTCTCTTTCCTTAAAGGCCATTTTTTGTGCAGTGCAATGATGACTGCACATGTTCCTTTAGAGATAACCATGGTTCACAGAAGAGAAACAATGATGCCAAGCACCAGCCTCTTTTTAAAGTGCCAAGTGGTGTCATTCTTACTTAATCATGACATCTGTGTAAATAGCGCAATCACTGAAACAATGTTAGCTGGTCCTTTTAAGGCAGGGCTGCAATGACGTTGAAATGTGTTTTGGGGGATAAAGTTCATTTTCTAGGCAAATATTGACTTTGCGATTAACTGCTGTTACGCTGATCACTCTTTATAACAATTAGTTTTAGTATCATTAATAGTTCTTCTTGTACTCGTGTGCTTTAAATTATTAAAACAATGTAATGTCTGTGTTACTTACTGTGACTGTTGGAGCTGCAAAGGCCAAGCTGAAGAGTAAAGGGAGTGGGCAGACTTCTTGTCGGGGCAGGATGTAGGGCAAGGAGAGGCTACGATCATTACAACTGTACCCAGAATGTACTGGCTGGAAAATATCGGTCAGCTCCAGAAAATAAAGACTGACAACCGAGGAGGCCATGATAGGCAGCTGCAACACAGAGAGAAGACCAGAACACATCTTCTCAGAAAAGACTTCAAACTACGCAGCCATAACATAATCAATATGCTGAGTAAAGAGACACCTAAATACATACTCATTTATCACAGACATGTTTCACAGAATATTAATTAACCTGTGTGTATGGAGATATGTTTTTAAATTTAAAAATCCTAAAAACTAGTTAACTCAGTGAAATATCTTACATCATGAAGAAACAAGGAAAAGTATTTTTTTTCTTGTCAAAAACATTTTGAGAAACTTATTGTATTGTTATTGTTTTCTGGCACCAGGACACCCTAGGCCGTAGTTCAATGATTGACTTTGTTGTTGTTTCATCTGACCTCAGGTGAAGAGAGGAAGAGCTCTCTACCGACCACCACCAGGTGGTGAGTTGGCTCTGATGGTGGGAGAGGACGCCGGTCAGACCTGGTAGGCCTTTAATTGTGCCAGTGAAGCACACCGTATAGGCAGTATAGTATATAAAAAGTAAATCAAATGCTACCAAATGGCAGTAAGTTTTGGTGTACTTTAAATTTAAAGTACACCGACCCTAATTTGAGGATGAGCTTCATCACAACATCCCAGGTATTGGAGTGTTTTACAGTCCATATCCCGGTGGATCATTACTTAAGCTGTGAGGACTCCCCAAACTCTTTTAAATGCTTCCGACTCATGATGCGTTTATTTGTTCCCCAAATTTTAATTGCTCATTATATTTCACATAATCCACAGACAACAGACAGGTTTGTGATAGATCGTAGGCCAGAAATGAGAGCATTTATTTTGACCCGTTTGTTTACTTTTGGAGCATTTTCATCGGTCAACCACACAGCCACCTAATCTCCCCACACAGCTGTGTTGTATACCCAATTTGTCACAAATTAATCTAGTTGATTGCATCCCGATTTCTTATCTGCCTTTCTTCTACATGAAGAAATATCAAACATCCACGGCGTGTGAAACATCATATTGGTAGCTGCTAAACTCTGGGATTTCAATTCTACTGTGAATACATGATGTAAAGTTTCCGCATCAGCAGGTACGTGATTCAGATGTCATTAGCTGAAATGCACTTAAATGAATAAATTGTAACCCCGTCGTACATATGGGCCAGTAAAACCAGTTCAGAAGGAGCCTGTAATGGTCTGCTAACTTGAAATTGCAAACAGACTGAACACAATAGCAATAGGTGTTTCTTTCCGCAAATCACTGTTTGTGTGAAATGACACAGGTCATCCTACAGGACAGAGTTTTGGGGTCTCTGAGAAAAAACACAAAAACAACCGCCTTTGTAGTGACTTGTATTTGTGTCAAAACAAGAAAATCAAATAAAGTGAGAGCATGGAATCTAATAACAAGAAAATTATGTTTGCAGTCAGCGATCCAGTTTTTGCTTACACATGTGTTGCGTCCTGAATGATAGGCCTACTGTACATGGATTTATATTTACAATCAGGATTTTACATAGTGGGAATTTACATTGACTTGCTCCTACAAGCTGCAGGTTTTGATTTACCAGAGTCTACTCTAGAATCATGTCAATAAATATGTTTGCATTCTTATCATCATTACTAAGGGTTCTATAGCCAAGATAAATAATGTGATAAAGGGCAAAACTGGCAAGTAGAACTTTCTAGGGTCAAAGATTTGGAGGCTATGTTTTTCTACCAAACATTTCCTTCAGGATTCGTATATAAAGACTTCACAGATTTAAGGAAATTACAGCAGCCAAATCCATATATTAGTAGAACGTTAAAAAGATGACTATTCTAATCTATCAAAGGCCTGGCGTGCATTGAGTGATATCAAAGCTGGATCCCATTTCTCATGGATTATGTTTAGGATTGTTCATTATGAACTAATTTTGATCATTATGATCATTATGAACTAACTTTGAGATAAAGGGAGCTAATCTTTTTGCTAGAACATAAAGTATTTCAGTATCTACCCCCGTCAGACTTAATGTTCTATATGACGCACACTCTGTGAGGGGTTTACCTATTATTGCGTGGGTAGGTGGAAGAACTACATTTTTAAATGCTTCCTCATAAATGCTGAAAAGCAGGGATATAAATTTATCTTTGAAGGTTTTGAAGAATTCAACCGTGAAGCCATCTGGCCCAGGAGCTTTATCGCTTTTAATACTCTGTATGGCCTGAGATATTTCTTCAGTGGTTGAGTTTACATCAACTCTTGTTTTGTACCCTCTGCAAGTGTCTGAAACTAAAGATTTTCTAATAATGTATCTTGTTCTTCCAAGACATGGCAACGTTCTGATTTGTATAGATTTGCATAGAGTTGCTTAAATAAACCATTAATTTCAGATGGATCTACTGTTACCATTCCTGAGGGAGCTTTATGGTATTAATTGCTATTTCAACTCAACTTTATTTATAAAGCCCTTTAAAATAACCACAGCTGCCACAATGTGCTGTACACAGCTTCAGACTGGTAAACTGTGATACAGGGCCTTTGTCCGGTGGGCCGGTCCTGATTTCAGCGTGCGAGGGCCGGCCCTCCTTAATCATACCGGCCCCAACATTTCCTCTTCCTCTCTGGCCAGTAACTGTCGCGTCTGTGTTAATAACCAAAGCCAGTAAAACTGCATTATAGAAGTCTTGGTGATGGTTGTTGTGTGAAGCTTGAAGATAGATTAATTAATCCACAATATGTTTCCGTGTGGTGTTTCACATTTGAGACGCACGCATTTGATTGTGCTTCAAAGGTTGTTGTTTTTTGGAGGGGGGGTTTTAATGGTCTGTTGTAGATGGAAAAAAGCCTACGCTGAAAATCTTTTTGTTTCTATTTCTATTTCTATCTATTTAACCACTTGCATCCAGTCATAAGGGCCAGATTATTTCTCTCCAGCCTGTGGTGAGAGTGTTTTTAGCGTGCCTTAGTGTTTCTACTACTCTGGAGTAACAGAACTGCCCGGGTTTGCCATGTCGCCACCGGGGCTTCCTCCGGAACAAAACTGAGCCCAACAGTTTTTTCACATGACCAAATCAGATTATCTTATTGGCTAGAAGCCGCTCGACCCGATTGCGACCTGATTGCTTTGGCTTGAGGTCACCAAAAGGTCAAAACATATACAGGCAAATTTTAACTGTTGATATTTGCTGGTGAATTTATCAGAGTTAATTTATATCAGGGAAATTTGTGACAGTTGTATTGATATCAGTAGATTTTTTTTGCAGGTGATTTTTATATGGTGAATTTTTTGCAAGCAATTCTTAAATAATGAAAAAAAAATCAGTGTGATGAATTTAATGTCTAAACAAATCCGACTGGAACTGTCTTCAAGAGAGGAGATATGTAACTGCTTGGCCATCATTCTGAGGGAGTCATTGCTGCATCCAGCAATACCGGACAATGCTATTAGCCTGGAGGGGCTAACGCTATACCACGCCGATAGAACAAAGTGGTAAGACTCGGGGTGGTGAGCTTTGTATTCACATCAACAACAGTTGGTGTAAAAATGCTAGATCAGTCGCCAACTTCTAATCTCCAAACATCGAGTTTCTGACTGTTAACTGCAGGCCGTTGTATCTGCCCAGAGAGTTCAGTGTGGTTAGGATCACTGCTGTTTACGTGCCCCCCCGTGCTAAAACTAAAGAGGTAATGAAGACTCTATACCAGGCTATCTCTGAGCTCCAATCTGCACACAGAGGGTGTTTTCATCATTGCTGGGGATTTTAACCAGGCTAATTTGAAGACTGTTCTCCCTATTTTTACCAACATGTGGATTTTGCAACTCGGGGTGAAAACACTTTAGACCTGGTTTACTCTAATATCAAAGATGCATTCATATATATATATATATATATATATATATATATATATATATATATATATATATATATATATATATATATATATATATATATATATATGTATATGTATTAGGGGTGTGGGAAAATAATCGTTTTGGCGATATATCGTGATATTCGGCTGTCCAATATAATATCAATTTTTCACTTCTTAGTATCGATTTTCAAAAAAAAAAAATGGGTACATAAAACATTGATGGGAAAATGGGCTACCTCTGTACCACCACTCTGGCAGAAAGCGATGTGGAGCCCTTTAACTGTGCGTGCAGCACCAAATCTGTATATGAGGCAGTCACAGTGGAAGAAAACCCCAAACAACATGGATAATAATACCTAATCAATATTTTCTGATGAAAATATACAGCACTTGCTGTTTCATCTCATCATTTGATTTCGATAGCTGGGGAAAATATGGCAATATATAGTGATACTGCAATATCGTGATAACTGAAAAAAACCTACTAAATCCGGTTCAGATTCTCTGGTTACCTCAAATGCAGCCTCATCTTGTGGATATAAAACAGTCATATTGAGAGGGATCAAATAATCTTATTTTCAAAAGAATAAATTTTCTTTATAAAGAATCCCATAAAATCATTACTGCTAAGAGAACGAGGAATGGACGGTTAAACAGAGCTATGGCTCTGGGTGAGTTTGAAAACTGCATTAAGAACAGGATTATTCTTATTATCCTCTATTATTGCAGAGAAATATGCTGCACTTGCTTTACCAAGGGTCATTTCTTAAAGCAATCAATTGTTTTTCCAGAGTAAGTAGGATTACTGTAGGCATGTAGAGCACCATTTTCTCTCCAGTGTCCTATCAATTTGCTCTTAAAGTGCTAAGCTCTGCATTAAACCAGGGAGCCAGCCCTCTCTTTTTAAAGTTTTTTTCTTTTTCAAGCGGGCTACATTGTCCAAGGCAGTACAAAGGGAAGTATTAATCCCATCAACAAAATCATCAATTTGTGAAGACAAATAAATTAAAGGTTCACTATGTAACCTTTGGCACCTAGGGGCGCTAGACTTGTAACTGCATGTATTTTCTTATACTAAACATCTGTCATGGTCCTTTGTTTTCTGACCCACATGCAGAACACATAGAGCAGTAAGGCAGATATAAGCTAATTTATTTAAGACACAGAGTTTCTTCAGGGCA